AAAACAAATTAATCAATCAAAAAAATCCTCTGAGCTAAGTAGATGCACTATAGAGCTAATTGAATCAATTTCTATTTGTGTTGATAGCTAAAATTTTTGGGGTATATTCGTACATTAAAAAAAAAAAAAAAAAAATAAGAGTCCTTTATAAAAAACATTTAGAAAAATATCTAAAAATCTTCTACAAAAATATATATTTTTAGAGAGAAAATTTTCTTTTCAGAGAATTTTTCATAAAGAAAGTAAAAGTTTTTTTGCAAACTGTTTCCTAAGCAGCTTCACATACCAGAGAACTTTTTTTTTCTCCCTCTCTTTTTTTAAATTTTTTTTTTTTTTTAATTTGCATAATTTTTTAAAGTGGTTCCTGGAAATGTTGGTCCTAAACTTAGAAAATGTATTGTTTATTAAGATTCTTTCTATCAGTTCAGTCTTCAGAAATTCAATGCTGAAGAGATTAATAGTTACATTAGAGCCACATGCACCTAGGGGCAAGAAACACACTCTTAAAGTTTCAGCATTAACAGTTCAAATCAAGGTAATAAATACAATGATGGAAAATAAAATTACCACACACTGAATGTGTTCCAATTTATTCAAGATTAAAACTATAAATAATACTACAAAATGATAGTATATACAGATTAGTATGTGCACAGATTAAAAAAGGAGGAATATATAAACGGTATTAAACCCCAAATTAATTTTATGTTTTCTGTCAAGTTAGCTCAGGCATTCAGGAATCTATCATGCCATCCATCAAAGTCCTGCACCAAGGTTGGAAGGTCATTAGGGAAGCATTCTGTTTATATTTTGCATAGCTGGTCAATGTAGATGGTTGCTGGGTGACCAATTTGTCTTGCTCCATGGCTAGGAGTCCAGAACAGTAGATCACTTATGAGTTCTTGTTTTGCTCACCAGCAGTGTCTTGCAAAGCTTTTTCTGCATTCACATAAGATTGTAAAAATATCAGAGATGGGTCCATAGAGCTGTGATTTGGTTGGATGTTGTCTCCAGGAGATGTTAAGTATAGCTCTCAGCATCCGAGTGCAGGTTCCATCAAGCTTAGATGCTAGGCTTTTAGTTAATGTCCTGGCTGTGGCACTATACATCAACACTGCCTCTACAGTGACTCGGAAGAATCTCTGCTTGAGGCTGTCTGGTAGATCAGATTTCTAGATTACATTTTATTCAGGATGGCCCAGGATTTAGCTATACGAATTTTCACATCCTTTTCAATAGAATTTATCTCACTTCCTAGGCGTGTAAAAGGATTTAACAGATTTTATTGACTCACCAAAGACATTTTGCATTGAGCCTTGCTGGTTGAAGTCTACAAATTAAGTTTTAGAGGCATTGACAGAGTCCAACAGTATTTTCTTGATGATGTCGGAGAACGGTGACATCGGTAATAGTGCTTTCCAAATTAATACTGTATAAACTCCTTGGGTGTTAACAAGTCTGTACTATCACATGCAGATGGTAAATACTATCCTGAAATAGGCTATTCCAAGCCTCTTGCACTTGTCAGAACAATACAGCATGAGTTAATATACTTTTATTTTATAACATGGGGTGGCCAACCTGCAGCTTGCAAGCCACATGCGGATCTTTGGTCTTTAATATGCTGTGGCTCATAAAAATATGTTGGCTGAGCTCCTTTTTTCATTACAGTTAATATAAAAAGAAAAATTTCAAGCTTTAAAATTATTTACCAGTTATGAATAGAGACCCCATTGGATTAAAACATAAATTTAATGTTAATGTGTATGTAACAAAAACGTATGTGTAAATTTTGTTCATGTCTTGTGGCTCTCAAACATTTGAACTTTATCGTATATGGTTCTGACATTAAGCAAGTTTGGCCACCACTGTTCTATAACTTATTCTCATCTTTGTTAATATAAATATTATTATACATACAACATGCCAGCCAAATACCCTCTGGCCATCATTGGACACAATGTTTTGGCTAAGTAATAATAAAGTTTAGAGGATACTTAGCCAAAATGTTGGGTCTATAACAACATTTATATCGACCAAGATGAGAACAACAGTTAGAAGTAAAACAAGCATATTGACAATTACTCACCTCAGAAATGAAATATTAAATTGTAGCAAGAGTTGTTAGTGGGCTAACTGAACTAATCAGGCATTATCAGAATTGGCAATGATGCTGGCCAAAGAAGTTATCAAATATCTTGCAGAGCATGTTTGGTAACACAGGCATTATCCTGCTGGAAAAGTAAAAAGCTTTCTGCTGCAGGAATAACAGCAGAATGGGCTGAACAATGGTCTAGCTATACATGATACTGTTAAAGTTCTCTCCACAAAGACCAAAGAAGAATGAGAATTCTAACATGGCATCCTACATAATGATGCCAAGAGTTTTGGCATGATGTGTCAACAGTGAATACACTGAAATATATCACTGCTAGGTTTCTGTCACACACACAATGTAGAACCTATTCTCATCACAAGTATAGTTTTATATTTTACAACATTCTAAAAATTAATACAATTGTATTAAGATTAATGCCATACAATATTTATCATTTATAAAGGGATAAATATGAAAACAATTTTTCATTCATAAATTTATAAACATTTAATAAATAAGTGAACCAACTATAAGGAAATCCCTATTTACCATTTTATACAGTTTAAATCAATTGATAATTAGCTGATTTTCCCACCATTCCAATAAAAAATCTAAATAGTGTTTATTATTTTTGTTGTCAGTTTTCAAGAATAAAGAAAATGTATAAATTCACTTTCATTATGTTTAGGTTTTATTATAATTGTAATCATCACTTTTTAAAGACAATAAACATTGCTGAGGAGTGAAGGTAGTTAAAATAAAAGCAATGTCATGAGAAAAACCATCCTTTTGACACTGGTTTTTTTTGCAGGCACAAAGGTCCATGTTTGCTGAAAATTTTATCAATATCTACTAGCCATTGGCATGGACATATTATATGCAGATCAAAATCTACAATATTTTTTAATGAGCTGCAATTTTAATTTTCCATCGGTGTATTTTTCCTTAAAGGCAATTTGATCCAACTGAAAGTGCTTATTTATAAAATATTTGGAGAAGCTTGTCTAAAATTAATCCAGACATGTTGGGTATGAAAAATCAAGACAAAGAAATGCTTCACACAAGACAAATTTGCATCTCATAGCTCAAGGGCTTGTTTTATGCAACATAGCTATTAGGCTATAAAAGTTTTCATAGTTGGGCAGAGTTCTCAAACTTCTACTTTGTCTATTCTCTCTCCTTTAATTTTCCTATAATTATAACCTGTCTGCCTGGCTCTTTCTTGACACTGCTGTGTCCTATCATCTGGTTTTGTTTTGTAGGTCTGTAGTTCCCTGTCCCCAAAACATAGTATTTTTGGTGTTTTTGATCTTTACAGACATTACATGTCAAGATCACCAAGCTGAGAAGTAATCAGATTCCACAGGGGGATTTTGCCCAGTAATCACTGTGATTATGCAGAGATTTCAGGTGTGAAATCCTTGCAACCAGGGTAACTTCTTTGCTGAAAACAAATTCCATAGCACAAACCAACAAACTTGATAACAATGAGTTTTAATGAAAACAAATTGAAAAACTTTAAAGAACATAAGGAGTAAAGAATTATCAGGCTATGTGGCCTGGTTGGTGATTCTATAGCAGGAAAATTATTCTAGCAGTTATTTGCAATAAATTGAGAGACCTCAGACATAACAGTGTCTATCTTGATTGAATTTATTGGTGGTAGAAGCAGTAGAAGTGATTAAAACCGGACTTCACATCTTGTCACACCATCTCTCTCTTTATATATATGCCAACAGTGCTGGCTGATTTATATAAGAAATTGGCAGAATCTTTCATTGATTTATTACATATTTTTCAGAAGAAAGTGAAACACAGTCGGCTTAAACCCCTAATATTGAATTAGGTAGCAATATAATGTTTGTGGAGACTTGATAGTATTTTAAATAAATATAGCAAGAATTCTTTGGAATTTAGGAAATTTTAGAAAACCATAAATCTTGTCATATTTCCCTGGAGACAATAGGGTAGGTTGGGAAAAATCTAGTCATAATTTCTACTTGGTTTATTTCAGGTTCAAATCTTTCTAGAGCCTTCTCCAAATTCATTTTGTGGCCTCAAATTATTATTTTTAATCTGTTCATTCTTTCTTTATTCAACACTTAGTTTTCCAGATTTTTTCAAAATTTAATCTTAATTATTTATCCACTTCAAATCATCATTAGGCATTCTCATGCAGTAAAATGCTGAACCATGGTGACCATTCCGCTTATGTCTTTTGTGCAGTTGAACCATGCTTGCTACCTGGTTATGCCCCTCGTGCAGTAAAATGTAGGACCATGGTTACTGCCCTGTTATGTCCCCACTGCAGTAAAAAGTTGGACCATGGTTGCTGCTCTGTTATGTCCCCAGTGCAGTAAAAGGTTGGACCATGGTTGCTGCTCTGTTATGTCCCCAGTGCAGTAAAAGGTTGGACCATGGTTGCTGCTCTGTTATGTCCCCTGTGTGGCAAAATGTTGGACCATCATTACCACCCAGTTATGCCCCTCATGCAGTAGAACATTGAACCATGGTTACTGCAATGTTATATATTCCTTTTGTAATAATGAAAACATCTTAGACTCTATAAACAATTTAAGACTATGACATTAATTCTAGATAACATTTAAAAAATTATCTTTGCTAACAGGAAAAATATTAACGTCATTCCACCTTTGTCAATAAAGAGAAATTATATACCTCTTCAGTTTCTACAAAATTGTTTCGATTCATTTCTTTTATTGGATTTTGAATAATTTTTAAAGATTTATGGATTCTTTTCATTTTTTTTTTTTAAACAAATCCACATTGAACTATTTTACAATTTTATACAAATTTATGTCAGAGCTATCAATTGATATTTTCTTACAATTTTTAAAATGTATACATTAACATCATAAAATGATAAACATTAAATTCTTACCCGTCTATTCATTAAGGCAAACCGTCCTTGGCACTGCATGCAATGTCCATACTAGAAAGAGAAAAATTTAAATATTCATTCCAAGAACTAATACCAATTATATTTATTGATGAAAAGTCAATCAAAATGAATTGTCATCATTATAGAATAGTCAACAAGATATCAATAATTCAAAATACCATATGAATCAAGAATAACAAACTTATTTTTTAAAACATTTCATACTTTCTGTTTGAATATCTGAAATAATTATTATTAAATACTGATTGATTCTGACTATCCTTCTCAATGTGGTTGTTATAGTCATACATAATATTTTGGCTTTGTGCTCCTTGGCTTTCTTCTGGTCTCTGTAGAATTCAGTAACCTTCTGAGAAGGTTCAAACCAAATTTGTTATTTACTCCACAGCAGGGCTTGATTAATCACAATGTAAAATATTCATGTATAAGCCGACTTCATGTTTTGTACAACACGCTGAATTTTTTGTGAGAAACCAGATATAACTTGTGTATAATGCAAGCCCTGATTTTGAGCAACACTAGTAAGCCTACCATAGTCAAATATTGCAGGACGAGGAATCATTCTGGACATTATAGAAAAATAAATGATCTTCATTTGTTTTTGTACAAATCGACCAGCAAAATGGTGAGAAAAACCACTTACCATAAAATACCTGATATTAAAATTTAGATATTGTGCAAACAGAGAAAAGACAAACAGGTGGCTATAGTTGGAAGAGGAAGTGCTGGTGAGAGAAACTTACCTTTACTGTTAAAGTTAGCCAAAGGTACTGTGAGAATGTAGGCCTGACAGGTAGGTTATGGTCACTGAAAATGCGTAAATTTTTAACATCTTCAAAATAAAAATTACCCATCTATAGTGTGGCTTACCCTATTTTTTGCGTAAAAATCTGCCCATAAAAACTCCCTTATACCTGAATATATACAGGAACCATATTCTTAGGACACCAAAAGAGAACATGGCACCAAGTGTGTGTGTGTGTGTGTTTTCTGAACACATTATATCTTGTAGCAATCATTTGCTTTTGTTAAATTGAAATGACCAAATGCAAGGCAGTAAAGCCACTAAGACACAAAAGGTTACTGGGTGTGGAAGAATTAGAAACAGAAACATGTGAGAACTAATTAATCAGGAGGAAAGTAGATAGCAATTGACACTGCATTTAAGTTTTTGCAGATTAAAGTTGGCTGGAAAGTATGGAGCCAAGAGGCAGTTCCACAAGTGAGTAATGCAAGAAAAGAAACTGTTAGCATAGAATTTACAGTTACATCTAGTCAACTGTGAATTAATGAAATCTTGATAGCAGTCAAGTACCACACTTAAAATAAAAAAGTTTAGGTACTATAGTGAAGACTGCATCCAAACAATTACCATGAAAGTATTTATAAAAAAAAAAAAAAAAAAAAAAAAAAAAACACAGGAAAAAACCTAATGGTTGTGGAAAAGTGACTGAAGCTGAGCCACCAGGTCAGGACCAATAATACTGCTGAACAGTTTTGGAGCAAATTGAGTAAAACCATAACAAGCTGGATACCTGATTGCATAATGCATAGCAACTCAAAATGAGAAATCAGAGAGCAAAGTTCAAATCCCAGTCAAGTTCATTAGAATCACATACACAAGAGAAAGGTATGAATCCAATTTTTCTCCCCTACCAGCTATAGGTAAATAGTAAGAAGATTGAGCCGTAAGAGAAGAAAAACTCAATTAAAACCAGCATGGAAAGTATTGGGCTATGTCAGGCTAGTGTGTCACCACTATGGCTGCAGTACATGTGCTGCACTTATAAAAATTACAGAATTCAGAGTAAAACCCATTATTGGGTCAGTATCAAACCAAATAAAACCTTAAAAAAAAAAAAAAAAAAAAAAAATTTTATCCCATTTTGTTCGTTAAATACGTTTGTAGAGTTTTTGAACCCCCAAAAACCAAGCTAATTTTTTCTTCTTCTAAGGTCAGATCACTCAGTAGAAAATACCTTTATTTTAAATGCATTTAAGAATATTACTAAATTTCTCTAAATTCATTTCCAAGCCTCTTAGCAACTTAAGCTCTTGCCATATCAGCAGAATGTATTTACTTTAACATCTGGTATGATGTGGATTGTGCGAAGAAACAAATCCTTGAATTGCTTATTAATTAGTTTATATTTAGTATTGGTAGATATATGAATATAGTGTTACTAAATTAAAAGCAATAACTTAACCTATTTGTTGTTAGAAGAGAGTTCCAATGTTGAGTTGTGATTACATCAGTTGGCCTTAATCCACACGCTTGACTGTTCTCTTATTCTGCTGTCCCTTGCTATGAAATATCTTCTTTCAGATATAAAAAGGGTGTTTTTTTTGGGGGGGGTGAAGTTCTTATTTTTATTACAGTTTCTAGTCTACAAATTATCAAGATAGTTTGACATATTCACAAATTTGAAACAGATTAAAAGATTCTCCACTTATTCTTTAAGCCAATCCCAAACCTTTAACATCCTATTCATCATCATCACATGATAGAAATTTTTTATTGATACACAAAAATGTAAATTAATCCCTCAAGCCTTAAGGAAACTGCAATAAAGAAAATGATTTTGAAGGTCATTTTTTTTTCAAAATCAGCTAGCTTAGAAAAGTTAGGCTTTTAGATCTAACAGCAAAACAAAATGAAACAACCTCATCAGAACTCACACACATGACACATCAAGCTAACAGAATTGATAGTAAGAGGGGAGTTCAATAAGACTTTCTAATCATATATATATATATATATATATATATATATATACACACACATACATACAGAGAGAGAGAATATATATATATATATATATATATATATATATATAAATTAATTGATTTAAAATATGTTTTTTTCCGCTACACAGTTCTAACCATGTTTCAAAAATGGAAGCTAAAAGCCACGAATTTAATTTTGCAATTAAATTAAAGACATTAGTTCCATTTCATCCCCAAGCGAATTTTGGAGTAACTTTTAAAATTACTGGGTTTTAAAGACACAGCTAAAATCCCATTTCCATGGTTACAGATTATATATCTTACTATTCTTTCTTTTTATTTAAATACATACATATATATATATATATATATATATATATATATATAGATAGATAGAGAGAGAGAGATTCTATATATATATATATATATATATATATATATATATATATATATATAGAGAGAGAGAGAGAGAGAGATTAAGAGAAATAAAAAAAGAAATAAAAGAAAAACATTATCCAATCACATTCGAATTTGAGAATGTTATAACATTAAGGGAAGGAAAGGAAAATTATGGAGGCTGCTAAGTGACAAATTTTTGACATGTTAAACATGTTGAACGAAAATGAATTAGTATTGTTGTTATTGGTATTTTTCAAAGACATTAGTTAACATACGCACACATCCATTAATTGTGCATATGTTAGTCTTATCTTTAACAGGAATATACAAATACAAACAATTGCTTTTATATATATATATAACACCTACTATATAAACATACTGTAAGCATATTCAAATTATGCTTATAATCCAATCTTTCTAGTTAAATATTTCATTTATAGAAGAAACCACTCACAAGTTAAGATTTAGTTTGCACCCAACCCCTGTGTTTCAAAGTTGCTTATTTACTTCTGTTTTTGACCAATGAAGCTCTTAATTTAAGCTAAATATAACCAAAGGACCAAAATTACAAAATGACTCTGGTTCTGTGATTTGGCTTGCATTTTACCCAAGACTCCTTGACAAAATGAACTGGTTTTCACAGAATCATATCAACAACAAAATATATAATTAAATCCCTCTGCAATCATAAAGCATTCTTTGGCAATTGATAAAGATGGATTATGAATAAGTATTGGGTGGCCGTTTTGAGTATGCCTGTCTGCTAGGGCAGCTAACCAATCCTCACTAAGGTCAACCACTCAGGCACATTAGTGTTTGTTTAACACCCACAGAGACCATCTGTGGTTTATACTGCAACTATGTTGAGCAAACCGTAGTTATGGTTCCTAGGAGAGAGCACATTATCAACTGTCTGAACAAGGCCAGTATGCTCAAAGCCTCAGTCACAATGACTTGCAACTTTATGCTAGCTCAATCATAGACAGCACCCAAATAGTTCCATCTAACCAATCTCACTCACAAGGCTGGTATGGTTTTCAAGAACTTTCCAAAGGTGCTGCAAGTTGGAATTGCCTCCTGTTAAGAGAATCTATCTTTACGAATGAAACATCTTCAAGTTCTGGGTCATTTAGATCAAAGAACTCTTTGATGTGGTCAGTTAACCTAAAAAAGTGGAGATCTTCATCCAGGTATTCATATTCATTGGTTGGCACCAAAATTAAGCGAGTTGGCTGGCAAAGTCAGTTGTTGTAGAAATCTGTTTCAGAGTAGTTCCCATCACTACCGTTCCCTACCTGGACATGTATGCTAAAAGAAACCAGCAACTCGCGATTGGATTTACTTTGTTGAAGTACTTTTAACTTCTTGCCGATAAGCCCTTATTTTTTTTTTCCCCTTTTTAGCGCACTGATCAAAACACTAAAATTAAAATAAAATCTCATTTACTATAAGAAACTTAGTTGGTTTTGTTGTTCCCTTTACTTCTCTTCATCTTATTTCTTTTGTTACACACGTCACACCTTGCCACACTTTCATGGTGAGATTCAAACCAGAGTCTCATGGTTGGAAAACCACATACCCACACTTTATGAATACTTAAATTCTAAAGCACTTATTTTTTTTAAATTTTTAAACCATATCTCATTATTTTAATTCTTTGACTGTGAAAAACAAATATCAAGTAATGTAACCACTTTGACTATAAGTAAATTTAATAATGATAATAAACTCCCACTTTTCTGACATACACATGTTTTCCGTTTTCAACAATGTGCAACCGTTTTTTTTTCAGTAAAAAACAATATTTCAAAAGTTATTTTTTATTACATTCACACCCACCACTAAAATGTGCAACTAAGGAGTCTTTTTACAATAAAGCATTAAAAATTATAAGATTTTAAGTCTACTTTTGTTTATATTGCAAAATAAATATTCCATATCATGTAACATAGAAAAAAAAAAAAAAAAAAAATCAATCTATTAAAATAAAAAACATAACTAATCCACACGCAGAGACTCCAATAACAAACTTCACTTGGTAAAATTGCAAAAAATAGTAGTCAAAAAGAAATTTTGTAATACAAAAAAATATTTTATTTAAAAAAAAAAAAAAAAGTGCTAGTAAAAAATGTTTTGACTTATTTACTAATGTTTTGTAAATGTTGATGTTATTATCAAAATTTCCAACACTTGGAAATCACATTTCCAGCCTACTTTAATTTATTTTGCATATCTGGCTTAAAATATATATATATTAAATACCCATAGTTCTTACATTTGGGGGGGGGGGCAGTGTAATACATATTGGTCTAAAAAAAAAAAAAAAAAAAAAAAAAAAAAGTAAAACAACACCTGAGAGAATCTCTGCACGCCCTAAAAAGGCTGTTCATCGTAAATGTCACAGTTTTATTGAGAGTCCTTTAAAGCCGTAAACAAAATAATTCAACTCATTTTTGTTTTTAATTTTAATCATCAACCTTTAACCATTATCAAATTGAAATTAGTTCTGTACTTTTATCAGAAATATATTCAGCTTAGATGAACTTTCTACTAAAACGTTTCAGCTTACAACCCAGTTTTCAGGGTTACCATATAAAAAAAAATGTGTGTGAAATACTCGTAATTTCGAAGTTAGAACTCATAGAAATTAACTGAATCTGGTAAACTTTTCAAATAATACATTTAAAAAAATAAAAATCAATAGTATACAGAAAATGACATTTTTATTAGTAGAAATTTTTTTTTTTTTTAGATTTTTTTACTACATGCAATATTGGCATAGAGGGAAAATTACTCAATTCATTCAATATTTTCACGTTGAGATCATTGTTTTTAAAGAGTTTAAGTTTTACTTTTAATTCCACGATTTTTTCTTTTTAGTCAGTAAATAACTGAAAAAATTTACTTAGTGAATTTATTATTAACATTTGTTTTGAGTAGTAAACGAAACGCCATTTTAAAGATGAATATTTTGTTAGAATTTAAAAAATGTTAAAAGAAAAAAATTTAAAGAAAAAAATGTAAATAAAAATTAAAAAAAAAATTGATTGTTGTTTGTGACAATTCCCACAAAGAAATATTGCTTCCAAGAAAGAAAGAAAGAAAAGAAAAGTGGGTGGTGACTTCAAGAATCAAATTCCAATCTACATTTCTAAAAATTGAATAACTATTATTTACCAAATTCTAGACGACAAAGAACTGCGATACGAAATCCAAAAATACACGTGCGGCGACACGTTTTTCTTTTTTGACTCTTTTCGGTTTTACTTTTATTAAGTTTTTGAATTCTTCGGAGAATGTCTGGAGTAATTTTCATAATGTAGAAATTATTGAATGATGACAACGGAAAATAAATTAGAGATTTAAAATTAAAATGATTTAAACAAAAATTAAATAAAAGGTTTCTCTGTGTGAAAAATAATAAAAAATAAAAGGTTCAGTTTGGTTCTTTCTCGAAAAAAATCATAAAAAAAGAAAGTGTTTTTTTTTTTTATAACAAAAAATTAAAAAAAAAAAAATAATTTCAGTTTTGATCGGATGATGTCAACAGTTATTTTTTATTACAATTTGATTCTTTCAAGTTGTTATTTTTAACCATTCGCGCAAAAATAAAATATATTATTAATTTTAAAAATAAATCAATAATTCTTTAATTTTTAACTTAGAATTCTTAAACAACACGTTTTTTTTTTTGTTGTTTTTTTGGTAAAACAAAAAGTATAATTTATTATACTTTTCATACCAAGTTTTAACATTCTTTGTTTCAAACAACTCAATTCAACTGACTTTGTTCTAAATGAAATTTTAAAAGTATTTTCAATATTGTTGGTTAATTTGTATATTTATTTCCTTATTTAATTTAAAGATCACATGAACCAAACAACAACACAAGATCTCATTACTACAAACATCAGTTTTCTTCCCTAGCTAGAGATCTTATGTGAAATAAATTAAAATAAACAAATGATAACCCATAGGGGAAAGAAAAGACGATTTATTGGTCATCCAGAAATGAACTGGAATAATAACAACTTAAAAAGTAAAGAACATAAACAAAACCCACCACACGTTGTGTTATTGAATTGATTGTTGAAGGGGGTGTGTTTGCTTTCTCAAACCAAAAAAAAACATAACCCTATTCGTAGGAGAGATGGTGAACGACACCAGGAAAAAAAATAATTACAAGAAGACCTTAATCGAAAATTGTTTCACAGTTGTTTAATTAGATCAACAAGCTCTAATTTACAAATAAAAACAACGAAGGAAGAACGGTAAAGAACATAAACATTCCGACTTTGGAAATCTGGGACAAAAACTAACTCCCGACTCAGAATCCATAACTACATTGTTTATAAAAACATAAGCACTTAATGTACAAATCCGCAAAAATCACTTACTTCATTGTCAGGAACCCAATTTGGCTCTGGAATGAGAAAGGGACTAGAGACATCGTCCCGCATGTTTACAATTCTTAGTCCACTCTTGGACTTAACAAGTCGTTTGTCACCTGCACTCGCCATTTTGTCCAAGTTTCCCTGAGGTTAGAACCGGTGAGGTATTTCCCTCCAAGATCCTAATTGAAACAGAAAAAATCTTAAAAAATAAATTAATAATATTTTTTTTTATTTTTCACATTTTTTAGCACGCCTCTTTATAGATGTAGATTACTTAATTCTAATTTGTAGTTGTAAAATTATTAACTGCGGTAATACCCAAAGTAATCCAGCTGTTTGCCTTTGTGTTGGTTCAGTCTCAGTTGTCTTTCCTGATGTTGAAGTAAACATGTCTTCCCTTGACGGGATGTGAGAAGTTGATCAGTCGACTTAGACAAGCAATGGGAAAAAAAACCTAGCCATGGATAATAACGGAGCTTTGTTTCACCTCATAGTTCTCGCAATTATTAATTTAATCACCAATGGGGTTATAGTTACGGCGCAAGGTAAGTAAAATTGCACTTTTTTTTTACTGGAGAAACGAACTTTTCGAAAAGTTGTGTGTGCGCTCAACGGGAAGGTATTTTTATTGAATGAATGGAATTACAGTTACACTGATTTATTTATTTATATTAACAAAGTTATTATTATCATTCCAGTTACTATTTGTTTAAAAAATAAATAAATAAAAGGAAGAGTGTTCTTGTTAATATTTACTTTGTTTCTTGTATAATTTATTATCTCCTAAGTTAGTAAGGAAAGATCGATTTGTTGTTTTTTTTAACATTGGAGCCCCCCCCAAAGCCGTGTTTTTGTTTGTTTTAATTATGTACATTTGTGGAATAACTATATTAAAAATATATATATATATATAAAGTTAGCTTTTCTTTTCTTTTAATTTAAACTTGAGAATAAATGAAATTGAAATCTTTAAACTTTTTTTTACTGTTAGTTAATAAAAATATTCGATAATTATTTTTAAAAGAGGTTTTTAAATAAAATTGAAAAGTAATTTAGTTCTCAAAATACAAAATGCAAATAATATTTGCTTTGCATTTTGAGAACTCCATAGCTACTTTTGCCGAAATATTTGCCAAATAGTACCGATAAACATTAAAAAAAATAACATAGTACTGAAATGTTAAAAAAAAATAGATAGTACATAAATAATAATAAAATAATAAATAGTACATAAATTAATAATATTTGCTTCGCATTTTGAGAGCTCAATAACTACCTTTTCCAAAATATTTGCCAAATACTACTGATAAACTAAAGTAAAAAACTTAAGTTTTAATAAATAATTAAACAATAATAATTAAACAAAAACTAGTCTGACATTTTTATTGAAACAAATTTTACTAAGTAATTATTAGTGTCTTAGATTTAATTATTGGTTTAAGAAGTGTAACAAAAATGTTTTCTTTCTCTAGTTTTTTTTCTACTCACCTGAAAAAAAAATTTCTGTTTTCTTTCGTCATTTGACACTTTATGAAAAGGTCTTTTTTTTTTTTCTTAAGAATTTACTTGTCTACTCATTTTAGCCGAAAGTTGGTTCAAAAATGACTTATGTAAAAGGAAAAACTTAAACACGGTTATTATTTTAATTTTTTATTCATTTATTTTACTAATTTAGTTAATTTTATTTCCATTTCATTTTTGTTTTCTTTTCGTTCACTGAATTTAGATTACATAGGTAAAAATATAAAAAAAAAAAAAACAAGTTTCAACGATGTCTTTTTGTTGTTGCTTCTTTAAAATGTTATTTGATTTCTAAAACTTTAGCAATCAGTAAAAAACTAAAAAGAAATACAATTATTAACTAGCTCAAGAGAGACCAACTTGTGTAATTTGTATTGATTGATCGAAATGTTCACTTCACATCATATATCGATCTGTTGGTTGACTTTTCTACAAATTACTAAAACTTTATGAAAGCTTCTTTTTTGACTTTGTAAGAAATGGAATTGAAGTCTACACACTAGTGTAGACTAGACTTCAATTTATATTAATTCTGGAAAATTGTGATTATTTTGTAACCCGATCCGAGAGGAATTAAAAAAGAATGCCTCAAATAATTAATTTCAATAAAAAAATCTTATCTCCAATCTTGGAAGACACAATCGGTCAGTGTCCATTGCAAAAATGGCGATTTATTAAAGATCGCGTAAAAACACTGCTATACGAAAATTAAAATATTCTATTAAAAATGTACCCAGTCCCAGTGTCTAATTAATAGGTTCTTTTCTATCCTATCTCTAGAAATAAAGTTTTAATCTTCTTCATAGATGTGTAAGTAAACAAACTAAACAGGAAAAAGAATTTAATGATAAAACTTCATAAAAGTTAGTCCTGTTTTTACGCACGTTTGGTTAAATATTTGGCCGCTGGCGCTATTAAGTTTTAAAGAAATGCCATACAAAAAAAAAAGGTGTTTTTTTTTTTTTTTTTTTTTTTTTTTTGACTTGTCAAAATGAAAAATAAAAATGCTTAGTTGAATATGAATTACTTTCAACAAGCTTACTTTAAAGTTTAAAAGGATGTTACCACTTTTCAGCTTATCTTTTAAATCTGGTTTGAAATCATTTAAATTTTTCTTACTGAAATTATTGACTCTAATAAAAAAGGCAACAACCTGTTATGAAACTGCAAACGGCACTCTACCATTGAGCCATAAGAAGCGTAGAGTGAAAATAAATGATTGCTGTTATAAACACTTCTCTCTCGGCCTTAAAACAATATTATAAATCGAAACGTATCTCATTAAGAAAGCATTTGATTAGTAAAACGAAAAAAAAGGAATATTTCTGTTTAAAAAAACTATTTATCTACGGTTCCGTTTATCAAGGAATTCGTTAACTTCTCTAACCTGCCCAATCTTGATTTCTTGAAAACCAGATTTTTCAAATGTATTTTTCTTTATTTAATTGAAAACTGAGGTTACTTTTCATTATTATTTTTTTTATTTTATCTGTTTTTAAATTTAGTAAACTCGTTTTTTGCTTAAGAAATCTATACTGAATTTTAAAAATATAACAACAATGCAGTTCAACTTTGCTTTGTTAAAAAAAGTTTGCTTTTGCGAAATATTAAAAAAAAAGTAATTGAAAAATAGAACTTTGTAATTCATTAGTTAAAAAGTTTTATTTTGTAGGTACCATAGTCACGCAACAAATCAAATATCAGGAAATTGCAGGAAAGAAAAACAGATAATTTGTCAATTTTAATTTTCGGAATAAAAAAAAAATACTCGAATGAAAAAAAAAATCATAAAATTACTCTTTCTTTCATTGATCTAGGTAATGGGACAAAAAATGTAAAAAAAAAAAAAAGTTATTGACATTTTTGCTTGGGTCATGTGATGTGGCCTTACCTGGAAATAAAGCATTTTTTTCTTTTCGGCATCGCCCCCATCATAAAAACCTGAAAATTGACTTTATTTATTAAATAAGTAAATGAAACTGATTTTCCCTCAAGTAAAAAAAAAAAAAAAAAAAAAAAAATTGTATTGACTGTAGCCACACTAAGACTGCCTTTTAAATTCTCTTTTTATTTGAAAATAAATATTAATAATACCACAAGATCTCACCTGGGCGCATAATTCTAAAAACAGAACTGAGCGGAACAAAAGATAAAATGGCAAAAAAAAGGTCGCATGAATTCCTTTCTTCTCTCTCTATTTATCAACCTCCCCACAAGGCAAGATTTTAACGTGGGGCGTCCCGAGCCCTTAGGCTCGTGTAAAAATTGCCCGTAGACCCCGTGGGTCGTGTTTGTCTACCTCTCAAACTCGACTCTGCCCTTCGGCATAGCCTCGTCTGGGTTCCTCTCCGCCCGGAGACAGAAAAATCCTTCTTTGTAACTTTTTCAAATGATTTTTATTTTATTTTTCTTATCTTCATCTAAACCTTGAAGGGAAAAAAATCAGTAAATAAAAAAAACTAAAGTAACTAAGAAGTTGCTTGTGAAAAGTTTCTCTCTAGACTAAATGAAGCTGATCAAATAGATTCCTTTCTCGAGTGAAATTACGACGACGAACCTTAATATTATTATTATTATTTCCATTTAACAGGAACTACCCATAACAATCTCCACTTTAATTACAATTATTCAACTTTCTTGGGCGTATTTTTCCTTATTTAACGTTTTTAGATTTACCAGCAATCGCAATTGAAAATTAACCCCAACCTAAAAATAAAAAATATTTCCAAGTTAAATTGTCTATTTTTCGATATAATCAAAGTGAAACCCTTTTTCATTCTCAATTTTCATCAAGTGAAGTGAAGATTTATCTTTTTTTTCTCTCTCTCTCTCTCTCTCCTTTTTGACTTCTAGCCAAAAAGGCGATAAGTAGAAGCAAGTGATCATTTGCCAATTTTGATACTGGCATTTACACCGTTTGTTTATAAGTAAATAAGAGAGGTAACAAAAGAACAGTCATGTTCACCTTTTCATTATCGGTCTCTACGAGTGAAATAGTTACTCCGCAGTCCGCACTGTACGGGATTTCTTTTTTTATATATGAGCTGACGATACCATTATTGTTTTTTTTATTATTATTAATAATGATGATGAATGTTAATTTTCTTTTATTTTTTTACAAGTTTTTAAACTTTTGTGCGTTTATGTTCTATGTGCCGTGTCCTTCTAGGACATTGGCGATCATTGCCCTTCACAACATCCTCTCCTTTCTTTGTATCTCTTAGTAAGATTTTTGTCTTTTTTAGCTATCTCTCCTAATCCCTGCTCAGCCAATCATTTTTACACAAGCTTGTTCGGTAGGTTATTCTTTGCTTTCTACCGTCCCTCTTGCTTTAAATACGTGCTGTGAATGTCAAATTCTCTCTAAACTCTCTTTCAAGTTAGTCCTAGACCTAGATTTCGCATTGGCCACACTCGCCTAACCCATTCTTTTCACCTTAAAAAACGAGGATCCCCTCCCCAATAGTATGCCAAGAACCATACCGTTAATCACAGTGTAGTTACGGTACCGATTTTAGTAACAATATCTGGAGAAAATTCTATAA